CAAAAGAACAAACAGATCTATCTTGGAAGAAGTACAATGAGAATGCTCCTTAGAGTCAAGGATGGCAAGACTTTGTCTCTCCTACTTTGGAAAAGTTGTCAGGAGGTGCCAGTCTCTAAAGAAGGGCCTCATACTTTGAAAAGTGGAGGATCCGTGAAAAAGAAGACCCTCAGTGAGATGGATTGACAAAGTGGCAGCAACAGTGGGCTCAAGCATAACACAGATTTTGAGATTGTTCTGTTGTGCATAGGATCACTATGATTTGGAACTGACTCAATAATACCTAACAGCATGACAACAATGACTGAAATGTTGAATGACACAGCAAGCATCCAAAAAGGATGGAAGAAATACAGCATCACTTTACCAAAAAGAATTGGCTGTGGCTACTACAAGAATAAAGGAGCTCTGGTAGCATGGTGGTTATGAATCAGGCTGCGAGCCGCAATGCCAGCAGTTTGAAACTACCAGCGGTTCCACGGGAGAAAGATGAGTCTTTCTGCTCCCATAAAGATTTACAGCCTCGAAAACCCTGTGCAAGGTCGCTATGAGTTGGAACCAACTCCACAGCACTTAACAACAACAACAACAACTACAAGAATAAGCAAGTCATTCCCCGAGAAGCCATGAAGGCAAGCAATCAAGTCTCTTCAGAACAAACCCCCCTCCAAGACTGAAACTCATAGGTAACACATGAGCAGGCATGTAAGCTTTCTGGCAATCACATTGGTCTACTGGTAAATGGAAGAGGAGGAAAGGCAGCGATGAAGAAATAGGCTGAGTTCAACCATGTTCCATAGGCTCCTGACATGGAGATGAGATAGAGAAGAGGAAGGTCTGGTTGGTCCAAAGTGTGGTGAGACCTGGGGACTCCAGAACCCATGGATAAGGACATAGCCACAGAGGGCTAGAGCTGAGAGTGAAACATCAAGATGATTTGAAGTGAGGGGAGACACAGAGAACACCCAAACTTGCAGATAGTACCCATTTGACCTAGCCTTGATGGCTTGATAATCAGAACCTGACTAGAGTAAGACAAAAAAAAAAAAAAAATTTGTTAAAGGAAATGAAGGTAAATTACTATAGTTTGATGAACTTGGCCTATATTCATGGATATAGTAGCTCAAAATACCAATATAGAGGGAAGGCATGTTCACATCAAGGATCAATACTATCCCCACTGTGTGTAAGGTAGATAGGGACAGGCAACTTAGACATTGGCTACCTAAAATGAGGGGCCAATAAGGCATGAAGTGACTGGCTTTCAAATTTACAAGAAGAAGTTTAGCTTAAAAGTATGCGAGAGAAGTAGAGTCCCTACTGAATAGTTTTCATCTTGTCTAGATGGATCTGGGGAAAAGAGATGGGGATAAGATTCTTATGATTAATAGTGAGTAATTGTTACCATGACTAATTGTGACTGTCACAACTGTAAAGGTAGAAATTTTGTAACAAAAACGGGGTAGTAGTTAATCTTACAGTCCAGAAATGGAGGACCCTAGGACCATCAAGGGAGAAGAGTACAAATGTAGTATCCAGAGAAGCAGCAACACCAGAGATTGAGGCAGAGATGAAAACATGGAGAGAGGGAGCAACCAAGACCCTAGACTCCTGGAAAGAGAGGAACTGAGTGCTGGCAGCCAGGAGGCAGGCTTGCAGAATGTGCCCCTTTGTTGCTTAAATTATTATATATTCCTGAGTGTTTTGTGTACATCACCCTCCCTCTCCCCCCCAAAAAAATAAAAACAGAGGAAATGGAAACAAATACTGTTGAATGATGATGCACAGAGGAGATTATAATCATTGCAATGAAACGATGGTGTAAAGCGATGTTCTCCCATGTAGACTATTACTCAGTTCACAAAAAAAAAAAAAAAAAAGAATTGGCTGATGTACAATAGTTGCAGTTCCGAAAGGTAATATATAATCAAGAACCAGTAGTAATAAAGAAATATGTCCAAGTGACCCTGATAGCATTGAAAAAACAAGCTTCAGAAATTGATGGAATACAAATTGAAATATTTCAACAAACTGATCCAGCACTAGAAGTGGCCATTAATATATGTCAAGAAATTCGGAATACAACTACATGGCCAACTTATTGGAAGAGATTCATATTTGTGTCCATTCCATAGAAAGGGGGTGGTGCAGAATGCAGATATTGTCAAACAATATCATTAATATCACACACAAGTAAACGTTTGCTGGAGAGAATTCAAAAATGGTCGCAGCAGCACATTGACAGTCAGCTGCCAGAAATTCAAGATGAATTCAGAAGAGGATGTGGAAAAAAGAATATGATTATAGCTGATGTCAGGTGAATATTTGCCTGAAAGCAGAGGCTACCAGAAAGATGTTTACTTGTATTTTATTGACTATGCAAAGATATTCACTTGTGTGGACCACAACAAATTCTGAATTATATTTTGAAACATAGGAAACCCAGAACATTCCATTGTGCTCATTGTTCTCATGTGGAAACTGTTCATAGAAGAAAAGGCAGTCATTTAAATAGATCAAGGAGATACTGTGTAATTTAAAACTAGGAAAGATGGGCGTCAGGATTGTATCCTTTCACCCTATTTATTCAACTGTATGATGAACAAATAATCTAGAAAGTTGTACTATAAGAAGAGCAGATTTCAGGATTGGAGGAAGGTGCACTAACAATCTGTGATATACAGATGACACATTATTGAATCACAGGAAAATATTTGTGTAAGTAAACAATCAGATTAGCAAATATGAATGATAAAACTGTTACTTCCTGATCATAGCTAATCCATAAATTAGAGAAGCATTGCTTCCTTTACAGTAAAACTGAGAAATTCTCTCAGTGTAAAGAAGCATGGGAAATATACATCCCCATTACTGACCCACTGTGTGGTTTTAAAACATTTTCAATGATTCCAATAACATGTTAATTGATTTTTTTTAATGTGACTGCAGACTTTTCCCCATACGTATTTTTGTTTTAAATGTGTTAAAACTTGGGGACACAAATCTAATATGTCTTGATATAAATGTGGATCACAAATACCCTATTAGGAGATACACATTTAGTGAAGTTTTATCCTTGTTACATTGTAAAATAAACTGCTGTTATTATGTGCCATCAAGTTCATATCTGAGCCCAATGTTGCAGCCACTTTGTCGGTCCATCTCACTGATGACCTACCCTTTTTTTTCCCTTTACTTCACCAAGTTAAAATCACCTTTGTTGTTGTTAAGTGCAGTCAAGTGGAATCTGATTCATAGTGATCCTAGATGTTTAAAAAAATGTGTGTTAAAATTGGATAATGAATAAGGAAGATCATAGATGAATCAAAGCATTTGAATGATGGTGTTGGTGAAGAATACTGAAAGTACCATGGACTGCCAGAAGAACAAACAAATTTGTCTTGGAAGAAGAACAGTCAGAATGCTCCTTAGAAGTGAGAATAGTGAGACTTAAACTCTCATTTTGGGGGAATGTTGTCAGGAGGGATCACTCCCTGAAGAAGGACAGCATGCTTGATAAAAAAAATAGAGTAAAAGATGGATTGACACAGTGGCAGCAACAATGAACTCAAACATAACAACAGTGGTGAGGATGGCACGCAGGACTGGGCAGTGTTTCATTCTGTAGTGCATAGGGTCACCAGGAGTTGGCACCAACTCCAAGGCAACTAACAGCAACCCCAAAGTACAGATGCTTCACTCCAGACATATTAAATGAGAATTTCTGAAGGTGGTGTGCCACTGAAGGATAAACACTGCACTGCTAACCATAAGGTCGGTTGTTCAAACCCACCAGCCACTTCTCAGAAACCATATACAGGGTCGCTATGAGTTGGAACTGAGTCAATGACACTTTGTAGGTAATTGTACTATGAAGCCAGGGTTTAGAAGGATTCCCTAGACCAGGGGTGGGAAACCATTTTTCTGCCAAGAGACATTTGAATATTTATAATATCGTTCGAAGGTCATACAAAATTATCAACTTAACCTGCTATATTTGGTTAAACATTTAATTAACTTACCTCTAATGAGATAGCTGGACTCCTGGTATGGCTCTGTAGGCTGAGCACTGGACTGCAAACCACAAGGTCAATGCTTCAAGCCTACTAGCTGCTCCTAGGAAACCCTATACAGGGTCGCTGTGTGTCAGAATATATGTAACAGCACTTAACAACAACAACAATGTGATAGCTGGAACTGTGGTTGTCTTAGCAGGACCAGATGAAATGATTTCACAGGTCTTATGATGTGGTTCTATGGGTTAATGTGCCAGATTGAAAAGCCATTTGAACTGCAAGGTCGGTGGTTCAAGCTCACCAGCTGCTCCTCGGAAACCCTATACAGGGTCACTATGGGTTGGAATTGAGTCAACAGCACTTCACAGCAGCATACAGTCTGCCCTAAACAAGTATTTCTTACATGGGATGGTTTTGCCCATCCCCACCCCAAGCATGGAAACTTGGTCAATGTCTGGATATATTTTTGATTGTCACAACTGATTTACAACTGAAACTGAGTTACTAGTATATTGTGGACAGATGCCAAAGACACTGAATGTCTAACACTAAACACCTTGCAAAGCACAGGCTAGTCCTAATAAGAAATAATTATTTGATCAACAATGCCAATTGTACTGAAATTAAGAATCCCTTCTCTAATACATGTTTTGATTCTAGTCTCACTTGAACGTTCCATGTATTCTCATGGAGATCAGAGGGAATTTAATTGTTCTCAGTGCTAAGTATCAGGACTTGTGAGATTTGTTCTTAACCTTTCTGAGTTTGGACAGAGCCTGACAATTAGGAGTAACCAACAGGAGAAGCAGAAAAAGACATGGACTCCTACAAGATACCATTCTTTACATTCCAATTTTAGTTATAGATCTGGTGATTTTGAATTTTTACCATAAAAATTAGATCTTATTCTTTTTTATCTTTATTAAGTGTATTTTTTGCCTTTTTTGAAATAATCATATTGATATTTTTGCTTTATTTTTACAGTATAAGGAAGAAATCAGAACATGAATCGGAAATTCAAAGTTTGTTGAAACTGAAGGCAAAAAATAGCGAAATGCTTAAACATCTATACAAGGAAGCTTATAACATCGGTGCTATTTTCCACCTCACTAAATTTAAAACAGATGAATTGGAAGGAAAAGTGGCAGATGTGAGAAGAAAATTCAAGGTTATGTATCTTTATGCTCTTCTTATTTCTGAAAAGACAAACAAAAACCTGAATTTTATTGATGTAATCTTGATAGATTTTATTTTAATGGATTGCATAGTGGTTACAAGTTTGGTTGCTAACCTCAAGGTCATCAGTTTGAAACCACCAGCCGTTCTGTGGGAGAAAGATGAGGCTTTCTGCTCCCATAAAGATTGACAGCCTCGGGAGTCCTTTGCAGGGTCTCTGTAAGTCGGAACTGAATCCACGGCACACCACTACCAACACCAATCTTAAACACAAAACCAAAAATGCTTGTAAAATCAAAAGAAAATCATCTCTTTCCAGAGACCCAGCCTGAATAGAATAGAATGAGGGGCTAATCAGCCTTGTGTCTACTTTGCCATTACTGACCGGAAACTACCTAGAGCATGAGATGAGTGGTGTGCAGTTTAGCCTTATCTTACACATTTAATACATACTATAAACTTTGGTGGGTAAGTAAATGGTTTCTAACAGAAAGATTGATGACGCCAATCTACCAGATGCTCCCTGGGAGAAAGATATTGCTTTTACAGTAAAGATGTACAGCCTCGGAAACCCAGTGGAGCAGTTCTACTCTATATTATGGGACTGTTCTAAGTCTGAATCAAATTCAATGACACACAGTAATTACAAGTTTTTGCATACGGTAGGAAAAGAAAATGGTAAGAAGGGCCCTTGGACTCTATGTTAAGTAAGATCTACATTAGATTTGGAAATTACTGGCTTTCACAGCACCAAGCAATTTATAGACCACAATGTAGTAGAAACAACTGCTCACATGATCCTAACCAGTCCTGATACATAAGATTAATAGCCACTGTCAACTGTTTTTGCATGGAGACATGGAAATTCAGCCCATTTTGCTATATGTGCAGAACTATTTTAACAGACTGATTTCATCCATCACACATTTCCAATCTTTGAAATATTCATATTAAAGATTTATGGTTATATAATTGACTGGAAAATATATACTATAATTTGTATACTATGTGCTAGATCTGTCTATCATGAACTTCAGCAGAGACTTTCCCTTGGGCTATTTACATTTATTACATGTGCATTGTCTACCAATAAATGTTTGAGAATGGACAGATTGAGTTTTCCTCACTTTAGCCCAGTTGTTCAATTTATCTGATATAACACACTTATGTTTCTCCCAATGAGTATTCAATCGATTCACCAATTCTTATGTGTTATAGAGTAAGGTACAAATTGTGTGTAGTAAAACTTAACATTAAAAAATATATATATGTATGTATATATATGAAACATGATTTCCAAAAACCCACTACCATGGTGAGTTTATTCTGACTCACAGCAACCCTATAAGACAAGATAGACTTGCCCCATCGTGTTTCTAAGGCTCTAAATCTTCACAGAAGCTAACTGACACATCTTTCTCCCATGGAGCAGCTGTTGGGATCCAACTGCTGACCTTTTGGTTAGCAACTAAGTGCTTAATCATTGTGCCACCAGGGTGCCGCTTCATATTTATTTTTGTTTTTACATATAACCCTATAGTGTTGTATATAATTTAAAAAACTGATATGTATTGCCCTGTGACTAATAATTAATCTACCAATGTCATTTAGAGAATAAGTAAAGATATCATCATTGATTTATAGGGTCACTTCATAATGTGTAGTATTATTTCCATTCACAGGATATCCTGGGTATCATTCACATGTTTTCCCATAGATGTCACAAACTACATTGAATTCTTCAAACCAAATTGCTTCCATCCATCACTTACCTGTCAGTTTGCTGTACTGTTGTGGCTTGTGTGTTGCTGTGATTCTGAAAGTTATGCCGCCTGTGTTTTAAATACCAGCAGGGTCACCTACCTGCTGGATAAGTTTCATATGAGCTTCCAGACGAAACCAGACAGGAAAGAGGAGACACAGATTCTTTCTGAATATTGAGCCACTTAAAACCTTATTAATACCAGTGGAACACTCTCAGGTAGAACCAGACTATTGAATATTGAAACATTATAAAATCACCAGAATATTGTTATATATAGTGCCAGAAAATGAATCCTTTAGCTTGGAAGGCATTCAAAATATGACTGGGGAAGAGCTGCCTCTTCAAAGTTCAGTTGACCGTGATGTCATGAAGGGAGCAAAGTTTTGGGGACTTTCTTTTTGCTGATGTGGTGCAACTCAAAACGAGGAGAAACAGCTGTAAACATCCATTAATAATTGGAACATGGAATGTAGTAAGTATGAATCTAGGAAAATTGGAAGTTGCCAAAAATGAAATAGAATGTATAAACATCACTATCCTAGCTGAGCTGAAGGAATACACAGTCACTGATATTGGCCATATTGAATCTGATATTCACATGGTTGACTATGCCTGGAATGACAATTTGAAGAGAAATGGCATCACATTTATCATCAAAAAAGAACATTTCATGATCTATCTTGAAATAAATCTCTGTCTGACTATGATTGGATAATATTCATATGTCTACAACAAAGACAACTTAATAAAATTATTCAAATTTATGTACCAATCACTAAATTCATTGATGATGAAATTGAAGACTTACACTATATTCTTCAGTCTGAAATTGATCAAATATGAAACTAAGATGTAATGATAATCACTGGCAATTGGAATGCAAAGTTGGAAACAAAGAGGATGGATCAGTAGTTGGAAAATACGACCTTGGTGACAGAAATGATGCTGGAGACTGCATGATAGAATTTTGCAAGACCAATGATTTGTTTATTGCAAATATGAGTTTTAAACAAAATAAAAGGCAACTGTACACATGAACCTCACTAGATGGCACACATGGAAATCAAACTGACTACATCTGTGGAAAGAGATGATGGAAATGCTACAAATCATCCCTGAAAACAAGGCCAGGGACTTATTATGGAACTGCCCATCAATTATTCATAATGCAAGTTCAGTTTGAAGCTAAAGGGGGAAAAAAGTCATCTTGAATATATCCCACCTGAATTTAGAGAACTCTCAAGAAGAGATTTGATGCATTAGACACTAATTAGAGAAGAATAGAAGAGTTGTGGGATGACATCAAGAACATCATAGAGGAAGAAAGCAAAAGGTCATTAAAAGCCCAGAAAGAAGAACGGGATCAAAATGGATGTCAGAAGAGACTCTGAAACTTTCTCACCAGTGTAGAGATGCTACAGAAAATGGGGAAAAAATGAGGAGGTAAAAAAGCTGAATAGAAAATTTCAAAGGGCAGCCTGAGAAGGCAAAGTCAAATATTATAACAAAATGTACAAAGATCTGGAGTTAGAAAACCAAAAGGAAAGAACATGGTCAGCATTTCTTATACTGAGAGAACTGAAAAAAAATCCAAGCCTTGACTTGCAATATTGATGAGTTCTGTGGAAAAACATTGAATGATGCAGAAAGCATTAAAAAAAAAAAAAAAGAAAAGAAAAAAAAAGGAATACGAAACAGGGGAGAGACCCAAAGGAACACCCAAACTTTCAGATAGTACCCATTTGACTTTGATGGCTTGGTGACCAGAGCTCAACTAGAGGAACATAAAGAAATTTGATAAAGAAAGCAAGTATAAATTGCTACAATTTGATGACCTTGACCTATATTTACAGACGTAGTAACTCAAAACACCAACTGAGAGGGAAGGAGACTTCACATCAAGGATCAAGCTTATCCTCTTGGTATACAGGGTTGATAGACATTGACTACCTAAAATGGGGTGGGGACTATAAAGGCACGAAGTGGCTGGCTCACAAGTTTTCAAGAGGGAGTTTAGTTTCACAGTGTGTGGAGTAGTAGAACCCCACTGAATAGTTTTCATCTTATCTAGATGGGTCTGGTAAAAGGAGATGGGGGATAGGATTCTTTCGATTCAATAGTGAGTAATTTTTAAAATGACTAATTACAATTATCACAACTTTAAAGGTAGAAGTTTTATAACATAAAGGGGAGAGCAGTTAATCTTACAGTCCAGAAACAGTGGACGCTAGGACCATCAAAGGAGAAGAGCATGAGCAGAATGTGAGACCCTAACCAGAGAAGCAGTGACACCAGAGATGAAGGCAGAGATGATCGCATGGAGAGATAGAACAGCTGAGGACTCTAGACTCATGGAAAGAGAAAGGCTATGTGCTGGCAGACTTGCAGAATGTGCCTTTTGGTTATTTAAATGATTTTCTATTCCTGAATGTTTTTCTGTACATTAAAAAATAATAAACAAACAAACAAAAACAGAGGGAATAGAATCAAATATTGTTAAATGATGATGTATGGAGGAGATTGTAATCACTGCAGTTAAACAAAATATGACAGGATGAGTGCAAAACCAATGTTCTCCTATGTAAACTATCACTCAATTCACAACAAAAGCTTTAAAAAGAAAGATGGATGGAATACAGAGTCAATGTACCAAAAATAAGTGGTCCATGTTCAACCATTTCAGGAGGTAGCACATAATCAAGAGCCAATGATACTGAAAGAAGTAATAGAAGGTGTACTGAAGACATTGGCAAAGAACACCACGCCAGGAACTGTTGTTGTTAGGTACCATCGAGTCGGTACTGACTCATAGTGACCTTTTGCACAGCAGAATGAAACACTGCCCGATCCTGGGCCAACCTCACTACTGTTGCCACGCATGAGTCCATCAATGCTACCAGTTGGCCAATCCATCTCGTTGGTGGAATGCAAATTGAAATCTTTCAACAAATTGATGCGGCACTGGAGCCACTCTCTCATCTATGTCAAGTTATTTGGAAGACAGCTACCTGACCAACTGATTGGAAGAAATCCATATGTGTGTCCATTCCAATGAAAGGTGACCCAAGGGAATGCAGAAATCGTTAGACAGTATCATTAATATTGCATGCAAGTAAAACTTTGCTGAAGATAGTTCAAAAACGTCTGTAATAGTACATTGATAGGGAACTGCCAGAGGTTCAAGCTGAATTCAATTGAGGATGTGGAATGAGTTATATTATTGCTGG